CTTCTTAACAGAAAGATTAGAGGTCTTGAAACAAGAGTTTTATTTTTAAAATGTCCAGTGATGCACAGAGAAGTCTGAGTCAGCAATAAGGTTATCTGAGGCCAGCCTAGGGAAATAGCTGTGGAGGGAGGTTTTATGTAGAATTCGAAGGACTGACCATAATACAAAATGCACAAGTGGAAAAGTACACAGACCTTTACAAATTACATTTTTTCCTTCGATTATAAACAGGCTAAAGGAGGAGGTAGTGGATGTACCATATGTTAAGTTAAAAGGGAAGGATTTAAATAGTTCAGGACTTGCTTTAGGGGGAAAATGCCCACTCTTCTTATATTGTCTCTTTAGACTCCATGCACACTTCTCTCTGGCGGTAATTAAAGCTGACCAACTTTCTGAAAAATCTATGACTTTGTTGGTTAGTCATGGGAAACATGTTCAAGATTCACAGCACTTAGTCTATGCATGTGTACAGTTGAGTACCTCCTCCCAATGTGGATCCTCAGCTGAGCATTCACAGTGAGTTTCATTCATGTGCAGAGTTCTTTGATATTTTATTACCTGTCTTTAAGCTCAGTGCAAACTTGCCATATTCCAGGTACATATATTAGGAAAGAATGAAGTTATCTGAAATTTTGGTCACAGTCAATATTCGAAATGTGGTACAATTGCACAATGTAATTCTGAGAAACAACCTTGTGACCTTCAACCAACTTCTAGGTCAAAAAAAAAACCTGTTATTAAAAACCTTTAGAAAGAGGTGTCGTGTGACAAAACACATGCATATAAGCACCTGGGACTGGCAGATGTGGAGATTTTGTGGTAAAGACATTGATTTTGAAGTCATACACTCTGATGGGCTGCACCATTTTGAGTTGATTTAGTGCACATAACTTGGCTATGTCTTCATCTTCTCTAAACATGGAATTGATTATGATTGTGACATCTCAGCTAATCAGAATTAAACAAGATGATATACCAGCAAATTCCTGGCACACACAGTGGTGCATAAATGACCATATCCTCCCTGTATCTTTTCTTGCCTCTCTTATGGGTATGCATCTATTTCTACGCTGTTCCCTGTGGTGGCTGTGATAAACAGGCAAACTGTACCTGATCTCAGGGACAACTTTGTTAGAGGAACTAAGAGTTCTTAAGTGTAGTTCACAGTGCAGACAATAAAAGAATGTGCATACTTTATATGCAGAAATAGAAGGAGCGGCATTTGAAAACAGCTGTTGATTTATCTCTTGAGTGTTATACTAATAGCATGTGACCAGCAAGAGTTGGATATAAGATATATCTAGTTAATAAGGCCATGTCAGATAAGTTATGCTACATTGAAAAGAAGTCCAAGCACTCCACACACACACACACACACATACACACACTGCCTGAGAATCTACGATGGACAACAAGGGACAAGAGGACAGACCAAGCATATACTGAAGGTCAAGACAAGTCAAAGAGCTAATCTCGACACTAAAGGGAGAAGCCAGAATAACACAAAAGAGCAGTATAGCCCAAGCTTCAGGACCTCCTTGTTTTTGGAATTTGTTACACACATGCTCAGTACACACGGGGGGGGGGTGCTAAGCACAAAACAAATAAAGAGTGACTCGCCTGCTTCTGCAACCTGCCCTAAAGGAGTATATCAAACACTCGGCTAGTATCCATGATGCCCAGATCCAGATCCCATTCAAGATATAGATGTTATAATGTAGGCAAGTAGACTTTTCCAATGTCCCAGATATACAGAGGGGAAGGTGCTTTTTCTCTTGTGATAATTGTTTTAGAAGCAATGACATTTAAAGAGCATGGGTCACCAAGAGAGGACAGAGCGTTCCTTGATTACAGTACCAGGTCTACAAGGCAGAGTGACACCCAGTCTTGAAAAAAGTAACCATTCCTCAGTGTTCTCTTCCAGAAAACAGGGCAGCAATATGCTTTCCCCACAGAGTTGCTACAAGGGCTAAGTGATACCAGCAACAAGTGGAGTGTTTACAACAAAGCCAGATAATGTAAACATCCCGGAAAGGAAATGTGAACTATAATTATGAATGGGAACGTGGTTGTGAACAGGTAATGTGGGAAGCATGGAACTTGGCTTCAGAATGAGACAAACTTAAGCTCTGGTTGAAAAGCCACCATTATGAGTTGGATGCTTTGAGTGGAATTACTTAACTCATCTTAATAGTATGGTTCTTTTTTTTAAAAAACTTGCAAACCAGGCATGTTAACTCATTGTTCAAAGTGTTCTTATGAAAATGTGAAACAATCTGAGAAGCAAGCAGAATAAGGTATATGTTTAGTGAATGGCAATTACGTGTAATTACAGGATGACAGGCATATCCAGAATGGCTTCCCATTAGAATTCATATTACTTTACATTCTTTATTAAGCAGAACAATTGGCCTGTTACATGCTAAGACTGTGACATTCTTGAGTCAACATGGGTGAAGAGAGCCCATGTAGGTGAAAGTCAAGAACCATTTCATATGCTTCTTTTGCTAAGGAAACCCCTATCCAAGAGGATTGATTGACATAGTTCATCTGTCCCCTGTGGCTTACATTCATAGTGGCCCTTTGCCCAGCACTTTCTTACCTCTGGTCCCACGTGCCGGTGAAACTATCGCAGAGGATGGGAAAATATCCTGGGAACAAAATGCCACAGGTAGCCTGAGGACATGAGCTCTGGGTCCCATGGGTCTCTAACTTCAACAATGAGGCCACTGTCCTCCCCGGAAAGGCTAGAATGTGGATGAGTGCCAGTTGGATGCAAGTACCATCATCAGAGACCAAAGGGCTACAAGCGGGCCAGAAGAGGGCTGGGGAAAAGTGTTTGAGAATGCAGCTGCTGATGCACTCTCACTGAGCTCTTCAAAGGCTTGGATCCTCCCCAGCTCCCAGCATGCCAGATACTCAGAAGAGGAAGCAACTCACTTGGGATTCCCAGTGAAAGTTGGGGCCCAGGGCATCCAGCAAGAGAGAGGTGAAGCAAAGCTTGAGATGTTGGTACCTGGCAGGTATCCTAGACTGACCCCATTTGATCACCAGCATCCTTGTATCACATTTTGTAACTGTGAGCCTTCAACATAGTTTAGTTTGGGCAGTTACTATTGTCATCTTCCTATCACAAATGAAGAAGAGGCTCTTGGTTTTAAAGTCACTCGCACCTAATCATCTGCTTAGTAAGTAGCAAAAATGAGATTCAGACTCTGAGGTGCCCTTTAACGTGTTTCTCAAATGGAAGGGATGCCTCGCAACAGCTCAGAGCAGCGTAGGCGGACGCTGAGCCATCACGATGCCAGTATCTACAGCGCTCCATGAACACTTCACTTAGTAGCATGTTATGAATTGAGTCATGATTCAAACTGAGGAAAATCCACTTTTTTGCTTAGTAAATACTGTCCTAACATTTTCTGGTGCCATTCTGGGAAGCAGCTATTGGATTAAATAACAAAGAAAAGAAGTTCAGAAGACAGAAAGAAAATGGCTCTAGACTCCTAGCATTCCCACTCCCTTCCACACATATGAACCAAAGAGCCTCTGTGCCAGAACTTATTTCAGGAACTATAGATACCAGACTCAGACAAAGCTGTTTGAGATAAGAGCCAAGACAAACATGTCTGCCACATGTACATGTTTTTGGTATGTATTTTTAATAGTTAATGCCCACCCCCAGAATACTAACATCACTGGGAAATGTTGATGTCTAGATGTAGGTGACAAAAATCAACATCATTTTAACTTTAAATATTTAATATATATCCAAATAGGAATGTACTATCAGTTTAATTTCCAGGTTTTCTTGATGAACAAACTCATCAACTTATTTAAAATCAATGTCATACATGTGTCCCCTTTAGTTAGAGGGATTATCATGTTTGATTATGTTTCTTGAGCAAGCGATGACTTTACAAAATGATTAATGAAGTTTCGCTCATAAACCCTTCACTAATTGAGCACAGTATGTTCAACATGAAATGTTTGCCCTAATTTTGAATTTTTAAAGATATCAAGTGGAGATACTACTCATCATCTTTATATTTTTATATCATCTGCCTCCCTCGTCCAGTCCCGTATCCAGACAGATTGCTCACCCAGTAGACCCACTATGCAAATATAAAGAGAAACAGCATTTCAATAGGGCAGAACCTTTGTTCTCCAGCTTCCACGACCCAGTGGGAGACTGAACCAAGGAGACACATATTAGCTAGTGTGTCCTGGGCCATTGTTAAGTCCTGTTCTAAGTATTTCATGTGGATAAATTTGCTTAGTCTTTTAACTATCTTAAATAGATTTTAACTCTTTTCAATAGACACTGATGGTTATTTGCTTTCGCAAATAAACACATTAATTAGCCATGGGGTGATTAGAAAACTAGCCCATGGTGCCATGACATAAGAATTAGGACCTAGATTATACTGGCTCCTCTGTATGAATTCATTGCTAGTCTGTAGGCTGACACAAGTGTTTGTGGCTCTTAATTTAGAGTCACCTTCTCTGCAGGAAGATCAAGACTAAGCACAACATTGGGTCAACATGTGACTTTAAACCTAAATGGTAAAAAATAAAATAAAAGAACACATAAAATAACTAAGGATATTTTAAACTCATTAGATAACCTACCCTCTGATAATTTTGCATCTTGCTCCCAAAAGAATGGTCTTCTATCCGTAAGTCATATACTTCTCATTCCTAGGGTAGAGAATAGTGATCTCTCTGCACATGTCTAAATTACTGAGAGAGTTCCCTTAGGGTGACAAACTGTATATGAACCATCACAATTAGTAGCCACACAACATCTACTATATCATGTCTTGGTCTCTTACCTATTCCATCTCAGTCTGTGAGGGACCAGCGGTTAATCACCAACTATGGGTTAATTTCATTTTAAACACAGTACAAAATGGCTTTCGAAGCATCAGTCCAGAAGTGACTCCGAATTTGCGCTAACACAGGAAGCAATGCCCCCTTATAAAAGACTATATATAACTCACATCTGGATGGCAGTGCAAGCTGTATGAAGTGCTTTCACGTGCGTTACTTCATCTGCAGTTCATTCTCTCGAAGGAACATCTCCCGGGATAACTGAAATTAAAATAACACCAATTTCCAATACTCTAATTAAAGAAACCTAAAATTGTGAGCATTTGCTATAAACTGTTACTCCACTGAGGAAATGAGTGTGGAAAAAAAAAAGCAGGTCATACATAACGCTTCCCTGATTAAGGAGAGACGACAAAGCGCTGAAGCTCAGCTACAGAGCATGGCGGTGACGTCAGGTCCAGTCGTCAAACTGCGCTGCGCCTTCTGTACCAAAAATGCATGCATTCAGTCACCTGCCAGCTCGCGTGTCTCTGAGAACCGACAAGGAGTCCCTCAGTACAAAGATTGTTGAGTTTTTCATTTCTGTGGCTGTTCTGTGTAGGACAGGCGTTGTTGTGTCGGAGTCGTGCGACACTAGTGGAGAAGTGAGCAGATGCAATGATGAATGGTGGTCAGGGGAGCAATGGATAGACAAACAATTCACTACCCACGCCGGCTTCGTCTGCTCTCGGTCCTGTCCGTAAATTTGCCCTGCTCGTGCAATACTGGAATTTGTGTAAGGCCTCTGCGCCTGCGTAGCACAGCTCACTACCTTCCTCGGGCTGCTTGTCTCTTGAACTTTACCTCAAATAGGTACACACTGGTTGTTCCTTAATTCAGTCTACTAAGACAAAGACAGCTTTCATCTCTCACCTTACCCTTATATCTTCAAAGCTCTTACTAGACTTTCTTAGACTCAATTTTATGAGTTTATATGTATGCTTTCTGTTTCCCCTACTAAATGTAAACTCTGTTAAGGTAGGGAATCAAATTCTAGCACTATGAAACACTCTGTCTATAATACAGGGTTAGGAGTGCATACTGGTTACACACACTAAATCTTTGTAGAATTAGTGACTTAACTATAATCCCTTTTTACTTATTTCCTGGATGTTGAGTCATTGGGCTTCATGTCCATGGCCTCTTCCTCTTTTCCCCGTCTGACTCCTCACTTTGGAACTTGATAGCATATGATAGTGTATGCTGTGATTCTGTTGTCTACCTTTAGCCAATGTTCTAAAACTAAGAGTTTTCTCTTCCCTCCTCTGCACAAAAATATTACTAGTCGAGCTGACTCCTCCTAGGTTTTCCGTTAAGAAGAGAACTAGAAACAGATAGATGGATGTATGGGAGGACAGATAAATAAGTCATAAATTTAATAATTCTCTCAAAATTTATGATAATTTTATCCAGATACTTGCAAATGATCTTTGTTTCCTTTATGAAGCCTTCTTCGATGAAAAAGAAATGCCATTATGCCAAGACTCTAACCCATGTTCTCTAATGACTTTCACAAGTGCCTCGAGTCACCATTTTGACAGTCTACAGTGTATGCACAAGCTATATGTTGTACATTGAGTTGAGTTTGAGAGTGACTGAGATGAAAAATGCAAAACAAATAGTGCATTTGAAAATACAAATATCTGCTTCACTGTTTTGGCTAAGAAAGTGTGATATGGATGTTTCATGTCCTTAGGATTCCTTTCAATTACCTACTGCTGTGTGATAGCCACGCAAAAATGGCAATGTAAAACAATAATTATTTATTTCATTCATAAGACTTCAACTTTAAGCATGCTTCACAAAGAACGTCTACTTGGTGTGGCATCAGCTTGAGAATGGGGACTAGGACTGAAAATTCGCATCAAGATAGTTCTTTGGACAATGGTTAGCTCAATCCTAGTTGTTGCTGGGAGTGTCAGAGAGCCTGTCCGTTGTGTCTCAAACAGTTATAATTTAGGGCTAGATTCTATAAGCAAGCACTCTGGGATAACAAAAAGGAGAGAGCACATAACATATTTTATGTCCTAGTCTTGAAAGTAAAAATACGTAAAATGTCTACGAGATGGGAGTTGTCATTGGCGCTAGCCTTTGGAAAACAAAGTCTGTCCTAGGCTTCCTAAAACCCACCCCACAGGGACACACATACCCACCTGGTCATATAATCAAAGGCAGCTTCAGCAAAGTCACACAGGTGCCCCTGGGAACAACTTCTATGTCCCTTTTTCTTCCTTCCTCCTAAAATAATGGAAGGACAGATTATTACTTGTTAATCCAGATTTTTCTCCCTTTAACCAAATTCTATCTAGTGATTGCAATTTGCCACCCATTTTGAAGTTCTACATATTAAAATAAAGAATAGTTTTATCAATCTTGAAAGGGGAACAAAGACACGTTATGTACTTATTTTAGGATTATAAACAATGAACCAAAGGAGAAAGGGGGTGGAGACAGCGGAAGGAAGAAAGTTGTCCAAAGCACAGATGCTCACTTCCAAATAAAAGAGTATGGCTCTTATCATCTTCTCAAACTTTTATGGAGAATGGTAAGCTTGAAGGACCACTATCTAAGGCTTGAAGTACCATCTGTAAAAGGAGGACACGAGAAACACAAATGCAGAGCTGTAGCTTAAAGACTCAGTACAATGTAAAGCAGAGAAAAATCTTAATCGTGCCTTGAATAGCATCATAGAAATGAGACAATCAAGTTTAATACATCATACACACTCAATGTATGTGTTAACATACACTCATAAAAAGAGAATGACTCTCTCTCTTATCCAACGCAGCACTTCCCATTCTTAAAAATCTTCAGTTATACTTAAAGGTGTTGTTAGTTCACATCAGTCTTGTGCTGGGTGGCCAGGTGCCATAACGAACATGGCAGACATCATCCCTTTTCTTCTACATCTTAAAATTCAGTGACAGACAGGTGTTCTACAACTAAACAAGCTTTTGCTTTTCCTAACTCTTGTTCTTTATGTTTGACTTGTCATAAAATCCATTAACAGTGACAAGGCGTGTTATGAGGAGGGTGGGAAATCCCTCAAGAGGTTCCCAGTAGGCTTTTTGGGAGGCAACTCTGGGTTTCTGCTAAGTGACAGGTTTTATATCACAATAGCCAGTAGTTTACAAACCATTCCTGTCTTCCCTCTTTAATATTACATAGACAAGCTGCAGATGCTGGATTCTCACTCTGAAAGCCTTCTCTACAATGAGGGAAGGCCCACCTGAGAAGGTACACACTATTTTCTCGGGCCTCTCTTTGCTTCCTGAATTTCAGTTCAGCTGGTCATGGGAAATTGGCCATTCTGAGACCATGAATGAAAGGAAAGGAGAATTACATCAGAATTGGCTGGCTTCGTTCCCTGATAGTCTTGAGCCACTGAATAAGACACACTAACCATCTTGCTATGTATAAGAATTGTATCTTAACTATTTTCACTTGGCTATTGTGCTACTTGGGTACTTATATGTAACCTTGGTGGCCAGTTTTTAATGGTGATTGATGGTCCTGATGACGTCCTGATGATGGCCAAGTGGTACTGTTGAGTCTTGAATCAGAAGGGTGAGCACTGAACTATATGAGTGACATCAGTTTGATAAACAGGGACTACTGGGTAGCAACATTAATTTCCACTCTACATAGGAGTCTGCAGAAAGTCTTTCCTTGACAGACATGAGAGGCAGAGGCAACCGGAGTTTTGTCCTCCTCTCTGGGGTCCTTCTAGCTGATGTTCTAAAGATTTCATTGCTCCAGGACTTACATTTTCACAGGAATTAAGCAATGACTATGAAAGAAAAGAGATAAACAGTCACACCCAGAATGACTTCCCACTCCTCATTGTCTCATGCAAAGAAAAGAAATTCTTTGGATGAGTTCCTTCCAAAGCAAACATCCTGGGCACCTAAGCATCCAACTTGTAGATCTCAGTAGCCAGCAGGTTGACTCACTTACATTCATGCAACTCCCTAGTGCCAGTGAATTACACCGAGAAAATTCTAGACAACCACAGTACTGGGGCTGGAAGAGGTGGGAAAGTAGGGGTTGCCCAAGTGGGTCACTTTCTAGAAAGTGAGTTCTGAGAATGTTTCGCGATATACCAAGAACTGGAATCTCATTATTCTATAGGATATTTTCCACCAACAGTCGGAGCTTCTGGATGGAGAGAATTAAAATGCAGTGTGTTTAGTTGAAAGTTCATTGCACTGAAGTCTGCAAAACTAGGTACTTTCCAAGCTTATTTACCCTTCACTGTATTTAAACTACCTCCCTTCTGCCTTTGTTCTGTAAATAACTCTTCTACAATCCTACTGCCTACTGAACAACAGGCCAATGATTCAGTTAATAATTATAAATCTTAGCAATTCTGCAAGCAGCTACTTACAGAGGAGCTAGATATCACTTGTCTGAATATTTGACAGCCAGGCAAGACAGAAAATGGGGCTCCTGCAACAAGAGTCGTGTTGGGAACTGTTGGGGAAGGGGCAGGGTGGGGTGGATTGTTGGGTTTTGAATGAAACTTTGACTTAACAATTCCAGTCCAATCTTTCCCACACAGGCTCAAGCCCACATCTCACAGAAGCATTCTATCTGTTAACTTCCTTGTACTTCGCTCCAAGAATTAGTGAGTCATGGTTTAAGCACAAGTTCTTAAGATAGGTGCTGCAAGGGAACAAAGGAAAACAGAACGCCTCATTCTTTTATTTATTCTTTAAGAGGAAACTCATGGTGGAAGCATTTGGGTAGCATTCCTTTTATATAACAGCAGGGATGGCAGCTGAAGGGAAAACAGTGCAGCTGGGGAAGGGGCAGGTGTGAGTCGTCTCTTCACTCATCTGTGCCCTCTCCTAGCCTTCAATGAGTCCATAATGCAATACCACAGGTCCTGGGCCACCGAGGAAATACAAAGGTGCAGAGTGGTGATTGGACAGCAGCAGTGTGAGCGGGATACAGGAGAGGCAGCATCCTTGCCCATTTAGGAAATAATGGCACTGGCTCCTTAAATCCTCTTTTGCTGTTCATTGGCTATGTGACTCTGGCAGTCAGGGTAATAGCAAGAGCCATTTACTAGATAATTTATGTTCAACTGTGTCTGATACACAGAGATAGAGGTCACTGAACCCCGTGGAGTCGAGTCCAGTTCTAATGTCTCCTGCAAGACCAGAACCTGACTCTCTGTGTTCTAGGTTTTTGTTTGTTTCTCTTGTTGCTGTTGTTTACTTGTTTGTTTTCATTTTGGCAAAGAGACAAGAGACGATTTTACAGGAAGGCTCCAGAAACAGGAGAAATGAATATGTCTCAACCATATATCACTCATGAGACCCCAGAGCTAACTGAGGTTAACTCAGTTAACCACTACGCATGAACTGCCTTGTGGCAAGAAAGGGAAAGGAAAGAAAACAAAAGACAAGACAAGGAATGGAAAGGAAGAAAAAGAAAAGGCTGCAAGTCATCTAACAATATTTCTATCTCAGAACATGGGAAGTTCTCCTGCATTGTCTTAGATAGCATCTATTAGTCTATCAATGCCCTGGATTTGGTGGTTGCTATTGGGAACAATTTCACAGTGGTGGTGTATTGGGCAGAACTCCAAAATGCAGACGGGCAGTGCTTCAATGGAAGTTGCTCCACTTCCCCCAAAACAGCACTCCTCCTCCGTGGCGCCTTTCAGCAAGATTGCTATGGCTAATTTTATTCATTGGCCTTTGTGGAGAGCAGCCTTGGTCCTCGCTGCCATTTCCTCTGTGTCTGTGTCAGAGCTCTCACTGTTGGCGAGCATCTGTTCTCTTGTGTTTCCTCCCGTTTTGCTTTGGAACTTATTCTCTGAGTCTCAATTGCAATCATCCGTTTACTTGCTATGAGATGTTTTTTTCTAATAATATCAGAAGCTGCATCCATAAACCCTCACCAACTTGGCCGATGAAATGCGAGATGAGCAAGGATGACACCAATGGACTTCCAACATGGACAGAGAACACTCCATGTCTCCATCCTGTACAAAGCACTATAGGCAATGAGAAATGATGGGAGTAGGAGGGGTATTCTTTCCCAAGGAATAGCACACCGGTGGTTATCCAATACCAACTTATCAGCCCTGAAAATACACACACCACTAACATGATACCAACTATACAGGTAATATTTAGGAATATATGTGTATGTAAGTATATGTACATATACATATATGTGCATATATGCATACACATATCTTCATGCAACAACAATTAGTGAAATAAGAGGCCATGAATTTAAAGGAGAGTGGGGAGGGATGGATGGGAAGATTTAGAGGAAGGAAAGAGAGAGAAGAATGGTTATAATTATATTATAATATCAAAAAATCTCCAAATGTAATATTAATACATAGGAAAAGTACAGAAAAGACATTCTTACACTATAAGTTTCTCTGTTGTACATTTGTACCCAATAGATTCAGTAGCAATCAATTGTCTGTTCACTTATTTTTAGATTTCTTTTATATTTTTAATTTATTATTGCTCTCAAGTGTATATCAAAGAACATCCACATTTTCCCAATGGTTAGAATTTTTAAAAACCTTCTTACTTTATTTACTGGACGTCTAGTTCTTGATTTCAGGGTTTACAGAAAACAATAGCATTAAAATTCTCTACCTAGGAGAACTTTCCAAGTGGTTGTTTTTGTTTTGTGACCAAACACCAGAGCGTTACAACTGTCTGTTTGACAAAAGACAATGCCGTGCATCCAGATGTTCCTTACACATTAAGAAAATGTATTCGTTTATTTATGGTGTACATGTATGTTAATGTGTGCATGTTGCATATGCATGTACAGTATATACATGTTCAAGTGTGTGAGTGTGTGTGTGCGCGTGTGTGTGTGTGTGCGTGTGTGTGTGTGTGTGTGTGTGTGCGTGTGTGCGCACACATGCTGCAAAATGCTTGCAGAGATCAGAGGACAACTTTAAGTATTGTCCTTTCCCTTCCACTCAGTTTGGAAGTTTACACCCTGTAGCTCACCCGTAGGTGTGTCAGACTAATAGCCTGCAAACCCCTAGGATTATACTATGTCCATCTCCTATTTCATTGTAGGAACACTGGCATTAATCATGCATGTTACCATTCCCAGCTCTGTATAGACTCAGGGGACTGAAATTCAGGTCCTCAAACCTGCATGACAAGTGCCTTCAACACTGACTGAGCCACCTCCTGAGTCCCACACAGCCTTAGTTAATATCACTCAAGTCACCTTCATCTTTTAAACATTTGTCAGGTTTCTGCCATATTCTGATTCAGGCATCTGTGCAGCTTTTCCTTAAACCGATAGGATTGAGTTGTTTATCTTACCATTATATAACAGGCTTTGAATAAGGGCTTTAGATTTTGAATTTTTCCTTTCTTAGTTGCTTTACTCCCTAAGCTTTCCTGTCCACTTCCATAAAATAGCAGCTGTCTTGCCTGTAGAGTTATGGAAATGTATAATGAGAATATGGAATTATATAGTGTATAAAAAAGGCAGCATAGTGGCTTCTAAACAGTAGACAATAAGCCATTCTAGTGATCTTCCTTCCTTCCCACTAAGCTGTCATGCCCCAGTCCCAAGAGTACAAGGTCGGGCATGGACAACCGTTGCCCTGATTGCTATTTACGGAACTTCCAGATCAGATCCCTGATGTTCTTCTGTATCGTTGACCACTGACCTGTGCATTCGAAAGAAGCTCTAGATATATAAGATTATGTCTAGAGATATAAGACAGTAACAGCACTGCTTGAGCTTGAGAAATCTGGATGGGAGGAACTCAATCCCTCAGTGTTGAGATGGAACAGTTTCAAGAGTACATTAGTTTATGGGACTCTGCCTTGTGAGTGGATTAATGCCTTTATTGCAGGAGTGACTTAGTCATTCAGGGAGGGGTTCCTAAAGAAAGACTGACTGAGTTTGGATCCTTTCCTTCTCTCACATGTTTTTGCTCCTTCTCAGGGGCTTCCACTTTTTGCCTTGGGATAATACAGCAAGCAGACCCTCACCAGATGTAAGCTTCTTGACTTCAGACATCCCGACCTACTGGAGTATAAGCAATGAGTGTCTGTCACTTCTAAGTCCCCAGTCTCAGGCATTCCACTAGGGCAGTACAAAGTGGAATAAAACAAATACAACTGTAGGCAACTAGTTCCAAGCTGGATCAAAGGGTATCTTGTGAAATAATGTAGGCATTGTTCTCTTAGCTTTGCTGCAATAAAGCCAAAGACGCAGTGATGTATCAGGGGTAGGTATGGATCCGTGGATTTCCCCTTTTACACAAAGGAGATGACACAGGTATGAAGTTCCAGGCACCAGGCCCATCTTTTGTAATCTGTTCTTCTTTTGTCTCTGATGCTGACTTCAGATTCAACCTCTGCCATCCTCTGGCTTAAAGCACCGATGCTTCCTCAAGTCTCCCTCTTCAAATGTGTCAGAAGCTGTGACCTTTCTAAGGATATAAGAGTCAGTGTTCTGGAAAATGAACTAAACACACACACACACAACTTATTAATATCTGAGAAATTCTTTTGGATAGCTCATTTAGTGTATTCATTTTCATATTTTCAGTTATAACCCATGCTCAGCTGTTAGTTCTTTTGTCCCTCCTTTCCTCATAAATGGCTAACACAATATTTTTTGTTCTTATGAGCTTAAATGGCTCTGTGATGGTGGCTCATTTTTGAAAAAGGATTGTTGCTTAGTAGCAAACAAGTTCATATAATGTAAATATTAAAGGAATCACCGTCACCCTTAGCAAAAAAGAAAGCCCAATAAGAAGACATCATATGCACTTTTCTGGAGACAAACCATCATCTCAGAGAACTCATCTACATAGGCATATATATATATATATATATTCTTTTTCTTTGCCCATCCCATATTCTTTCCATTTGACCATATGATTCCCTTATAAGACTTAGGTTTTTATACAAGTGTAATACATATATGGTTTCTTCACATTAGAATTGTCAAATCAGGTCACTTCTCAGCAGTATTCAAAACAAACAAAAATGTGTCCCAAAAGTGTTCGTGCTTCTCATAACAAGAATTAGCCGTGTCAGAATGCTCACAGGGTCCAAATGGACATTGTGGTCCCGTCTGTTCTGTGCCAGATTCAACAGTCTTCCGAGGTAAGACATGCTACAGATTGCTGCTGTTCTTGAGCAAAGTGAAAGATACTTGGAAAATATAAAAGCTTCTAAAGATGACACCGTCAATTTCTCCCATTCCTATGCGCACACATGCTACTCGACTCACCAAAGCAATCTTTCTGGCTTCTTGAATCTGGAGTGGCTCCTTCCCTTAGTTTTATCTATTAGAGAGTTGAGGCCATGCTAGTCAGTTTCAGGGTTAGTTTTAAAGGAGTCTGACAGAATCTTTCCCTAGAGTCTCGAAGCCAAGTAGCTCATAAGAAACTTGATTGTGCTGATGTGAGCCTGGTGTAAAGGATCACAAGCTAACTCCATGAGAAACATAAAGAGAGGAAAGAATGATGGACATATATGTGATTTAAGTTTGCTCTGATTTTCAAAGACAATCAGGGTGGAGAGAAAGTAACTCACCTCATACTCCTTGGAGCCAAGAGTCCATTGTTGATTGAAGTCAACCTGAAGAATGGTGAAAAGGGTTATCTTTTGGTTTTTTAATTCATTAAGCTATGTGGTGTTTAATTACATAGCAATGGATGCTCCAAACAAAACAGACAAAAACAAAAACAAAAACCTACCTTCCTCATATCCCATATGTAACCAGCTTCCATATCAGTCAAGAATTTGCAACTCTTAGTGAGCATCAGTCACCTGGAAAGTTTTCTAAACTAAGTGTGCTCCATGGAGATCATCAAAATGCAAAACCCTTAGGCCTACACATTTGCATATTTAAATCTCTGAATAAGTAGAATGAGAAAACCATTGTAGTAACCCACAAAAGTAAAGACTCCTTTGCCTAAAGAAGCTCTTCTTTTAAAATGTAAATTCCTTCTGGGAGTGATAAATCAAGCAGATGGTTTTAGGATTACATCGGTAATCAGATTCCTTCCCTAACTCCTGGTTATGTGGAGTAAAAACTGAGGGCAAAAGCATGGAATTGGAGCAGGCATGTACCTGAACTGGGAATTGTTGACAGAGGACCACAAACTATGTCATTTGATCAGTCTAGAGCCAGCCCAGGTGAATGGGTGCCTGGAAGCGGGAAGAGTGGTTTGAGGAGGACAGTGGGAAGTTGAGAAAGACTGGTTATACACACTCTGATGGAAAAGCACTTGAGGAATTTGCCCTTGGAGCTCGTTAGCTAGGGGCTTGAGAAATGATTATAGTAACAACACCAAGGGGCAGCATGAAGCTCAAACAAGGTGACAATATCCGCCTTAGAAAGCCAGACTATGAAATTGAACGTTATTAAATAAAAGGAATGTGTCTAAAGGTAAGGACCAGGAAGGCTTACGTAATGAGGTCATGCAAAGGTGGAGAGGTTCCCATGATTCTTAGCTTTGTTTTCCCAGCAGCCCTCAGCATCATCCCCCACACAGCCTCCCAGCTTGGTTGATTCTCCCTGAGGAGCTGTGAGTCAGGTCCCTCTGAGAACTTCTCGCTTTCACTCTTTCTTTCCCTCTGTCCCAGAACTGAGACCCACCTGGGGGTTTCACGCCACCTAAAGAGAGGAAGCGAAAGGGACTGTGTTTTCTGCAAGGCTTAACTTTCCTCCTAGAAGCGAAAGGACTGAGACCTCTATGCCTCCAGAAACCGCTTTACTTCCTGTGGTGCTGAGTCAGTGAGGAGAGAGTAAGGACTTAGTGTGCAGTGCAAGAAAAGCATGTGACCTACATCATCCTTTCGAACCTGCGTCTCGGGGCCACTTTCTGGAGATGGATTTAATGATCTGAGACAAAGACTTGGCAGCAACTTGAAAAAAAAAAATCACATGATCGAGGGTTGAGAAATAATGGAGACCGAAAGTACACTCAGACTAGTTGAGTCCTCCGTTCCTTTTCCCTCTTTGTTTTGTTTTTTTTATTTGGTTTTTTGAGACAGGATTTCTCATTGTAGTCCTGGAAATTGCTCTGTAGACCAAGCTGGCCTCAAACTCACAGAGATCTGCCTGCCTCTGTCTTGAGTGCTGGGACTAAAGGCGTGCATCACCACCCAGAAAGCCCTCAACTTCTAATCAGCAAAATATTTCTGCCAATATTTTTTAAATTATCTTTCCAGGTTAGGGTTGTGGAATTTTTGGCAGGTCCATTTGGTTCCTTACAGATGCTGCCTGACCACCTGCCCTCCCAGAGAAGCAGGGTACAGACACAGCAAACTCAACGGGGAGAAAGTGCTTTTGTCACGCCACAGGTGATAACCACTGGCCAAATTGACATGACAATGAACTTATTCAAAATGTGCCATCTCAGGCTACTGAATTGGCCTGCGCCATTTAGGAAGATCCTTGGGTAGCTCAGTGAGTTCATTCAAATATCAGAAGCATTGGCTAAATTAATGTGTTCCAGTTATACAAATCTGGAATCACACTGAACTGAACCCAGAATCTCAGTACTGTGCTATGCACATACTTGAATTCCCAAAGCCCTCAGAACTCTCAACAAAAGGTCTTTGAAATGTGAGAGACAAAAATATAGGTCTTGGACATGCCAGTACATTTGTGGTAGACTCAAGTTTAAATGAGTCCTTGCCTAACACCCAATGCTTGCCATTTGAACAATATGCTGAGGCAAGTTCTTTACTGTCCAGACACCTTGATAGGTTCTGAGGAACATTCTATGGTAAAAGAACAAGCATGACCTTCAGGGGACTTCAGAGGAGGCAGGTAACTCCACAATGACAGGACCAGCCGTGTAGGGACATGGACCAGGAAGACGACCTGTGATCACCAGGAGAGACACCTGAGTCCTCTGGATTCCCTGACCCACGCACCACCACTTTCACGACAGATTGGGTGCAATACTGGTGTTCCACCCCATCCCTGCCACCGCAATGCTTCATTTTCCTCCCTCTTCATTTTTCTCTACCCATCATCCCCCTTGTCTGTTTTCTCTTGGCACAAACCACTTCCACTGAAATTTCCTAGTATCTTTCTAGGCTTTTCCCACCTGCCCACCCTAATGCACACATTCTCGATTCTTACAACATCTACTCCTCTTGTTCACTAGCAGTTTCTAACTCTGACTGTAGAGCAAAACTCAGCAGAGAAATGTTAAAACCGAAAGAAACAAACGCCCTTGCCAACCCACCCTTCCCGTCAACTCTGCAGAGGAGACCAAAAGTTCTGTTAATTATCCCACTCTGCTCCATGTGGTTCTCAGACAAAGCCAGAGCTAGGATGAGAACCTGTCATACCACTTCCCTGACACCTGATGCTAGCAGAGATGGGCGTGGGGGTACGTACTTTGTAAACTGCTTCCAACCTGCATGACTGTCATCTTATTTGACCAGCCTGTCAGTCCCGTAAAATGGAAAATCCACAAGAAAGAGATGTTTAGTCCCTGACAGGTAAGAAAACAGCCTGAGAGAGGCGAAGCCACAAGCCCACACGGAAAGGTCTTGGAACACATCTCCTGGCTTGCTCCGTGCTGGTTGGAATGGGCGTGTATCTGGAGCGGGATGAAAGCCAGGGCAAGCTTTGCTTGGTCCACTCCAAGCTCCTTGCCAACCTAACAGGTGGGGACTATTTAGCCACAGGTCACGGTTTCACTGGAAGTCCTGTGTAGGGGATGTGCCAGGTTCTCCCACCTGACAAAGAGGAACTAGGAGTGGGCGTAACTCAGATCCATGTGACCAGATACACTTGAGCAAACTCTGTGAGAAAAAGGAAGTCTACAAATAGCTCGAGGCACTAGAACTTTCCTCAAAACTCAGTCAGGAGTCACATTCTGATCAGAAGGGCACAGGGCAGGGTCATGAGGACAGAGATGTCCTGGGGTTTCATTCCTCTCCACCCAGCCACCTCATGCTGTCTTGGACGGGTGTGAATGGGCCCCTTCTTACCTGGGATTGCTTTAAAAGCAAACACGGAAACTCTGGTTGAGCTCCCTTGTCTCCCGTTTCTCAGAGCAGCCCAGGAAGTAAGGCTCACTACAAGAGGCCCCCTAGCAAACAAGGTAGACAGGAAGGGGTTCAAAGTGGGGGATGGGGGAAAGGCCTTTCTTCCTTTCTTAAAAAAAAAGAAAAGAAAAGAAATCTCATCACAGGGTTTCCTTTCTTGCATGGTCTACCTCAGAAATAAACCCATCTACTTGGTTATATGTCCCATGTATATTTCATTCCCCTCTTGGCAGAAATAATTTTCAGTTCTCAGGAACGAGCAAGGTAGGGAATGGCAAGGGGAGGGCTGAATGCCTCCTGCAGTGAGGAACGATATACAGATTGGGGTACACAGGAGGGCTGACATTACACAATCCACACATCAGCACTTCTGAGGCAGGCAGAAAGCTATTCCTGAGGGAAGCATGTTCTAAACTAGCGGAAAAATAAATGTTGCTTTGAAATTAAGCATCTCAGCCTATGACTTTGCTGCCAAACAATCTCTCTGGGGTTATTTCTCAGGGTGATGTGTATGGGCACACACAGGCTACTGCATAAAGGGATTGATTTCAAAAGGCACAGGGTCCTCGTTTTCATACATAAATAAATCCTCCCTGGCCATCGGAATACGATTATATTTGGAACAAAATTCCTAAATGTAGGGCCATTATCTGAAGCCATATGACCCACACCCATCCTGTGACCTAAGGTTGTCACTTAGAAAAACGCAAGATTGTGCACTGACTTGGGCTTGGATTTGCTTTCCCGGGAAACATCATGCTCTCCCTTTGCTGTTTGTAGCAAGTGAGGCCAAAAGACTTTCTCTCCATTAGACAAGCAAGTCTTCACACACACACACACACACACACACACACACACACACACACACACACACACATATGCATGCACGCGCGCGCGCACACACACACCTTTTCCTTGGTAACTACAACTGTTCCTGGATAAGACAAAGTGCTATTCTCAGGGGATCAAAGCATAAGCACATATCCTATTGTGGATGGAAAGATGAGTTTCTGTCACAGTGCTTTTGTTACTGACGCACTCTGCCCTCAACCTGACTATTTGGAATCAGAAGAGTGACATCAGCTACTATTCATTCATCAGGCACTGACCTCCTTATGTGGACCACATTTTATGGGCCACATCCTAGAGACATCTGCTCTCAGGGAGAGCTGTTTGCCTCGTTAAGAAAGAACCATGCTGCAAAGCCATCTAGAGTTCATGGAATAAATGCTGGAGAAAATATGGTGAAGACAGGTCTAGGACTTAGAGTTCCAGGTGAAGTTTTCTAAAATTGACTTTCAGAGAAAATGGCATTTTAGATGAGACTTGGGAAGTGAAGGGATGCCAAGGCAACTCTGAGGTCGGCTAAAGGAGTGTCCTTAGAGGATACCATGTCTATAGTGGCAGTGTGTGACAGGAACAGAGAGCAGGGAATACTGACACTGGAAAGGTCTGGGAACCACAACTGGGGCAGGTAAAAGGGAAAGAGCTTAATCAATTCCTGAGAAAGAACTGTCAAGGCCACAGAGGTGTCAGGGGTTTGTTGAAGCCAGGAAAAGTAGACAGAGCTTTTATGTGTGGTTAGGATCCTGGGCAGAGATCAGAAGCCACTGCATATAAGTAGAAAAAGTGAGAAACACTGGAAGGTAAACGGACAATTGGGGAACACAGAAAATTGTTGCTCCGAGGCCACACTTTCTAGAGAGACACACAGCAATTCTGCTGTAAAACCATGAAACACTCACACCTTGGACCTTCCTCTGTTGGACTTCATTTGATGAAGCGGGTAGCTGCAGGCTGGTTTTGTCAACCTCCATCCCAAACCATAAGCTGAATGTTCAGGGAAAAGGACACAGTGCACACTAAACATGGTGTTATTTTTCTCCCTCCCCCTTTCCTCCCTCCCTCCATCCTTTCTTCCTCCCCCTCCCTCCATCCTTCCCTTCCCTCCCATCTCTGCTTTTCCCTACTAAAGATAGTGTCCAGAGCCCTGATTAGGCTGGTGAAACATTCTAGCTAGCATTAACCTGTAGCCCAGCCCTTGTAGTGTCGTTCTCCTTTAGAAAAGAAGTAATCTAACAGAAAACAAAGTTCCTGATCATTTAAAATTGGTTTCTTGGGGTCAGAACTCATTCACTGATTTTTTATGAGTTCCTAGAATGTCTAACTTCATGCTAATGCCTAGAAAATGAACATAAGATGCTGGAATACCTGTCAGAACAAGACTAGTAGTGTGCCTACTAATTTATCCATCCATCCATCCATCCATCCATCCATCCAATCATCCAACCCATCCATCTAGTCAATAAGCAAGTAGTGAGTTTCTATCATTGGAAGACAAGTTGGCATATTCTGCAGAATCCCTTGGTGACTCAGCTCTGGCTCCTTCCTTCAAGTTGCCTACCTTTAGGAAAAGGAGACAACAGGTACTTTAACATCTAGTATCTGATAGTAGAGAGAAATGTGATGCCAGGAAAGGGGCTGATGGGGATGTGAGGGTGGTCGGAGCAAGATGACTTCCAGCTGGAAGCCATCAGAGTGGTTGACAAGATGACATCTAGGTTCCTGTTAACCCTTCAAAGTGACATATGAGTCCATGCAAAGATTACAAGCAGACTTAGAGAAAACAACGCTCTTTTGTATATGTCACCAGCCCTTAGGTCCCATCAGGGCAAGTTTTATAAATAGTTGGTGACTTCAAAAGTCTTAGAAATGGATTCTCTTTTCCACTGGGGGAGGGAGGAGGGGCCGGACTACCTTAATAGAACTTTGTATATTTTCTATAAATTTCTGTTTGTCAGCCTTTAATTTATGCACCAAAAGGAGTTGATAATACACAAATGAATAACACTGATTATTCTTGATACCTCCACAATTCAAAAGAAAGCAGTGTTGAATCTGTTTTGAAGATGAGATGATGCCAAAAAGGGAAACAAGCCTGTTACATATGTCTTCAGACTCTCCTCTCCTCTCCTCTCCTCTCCTCTCCTCTCCTCTCGTCTCCTCTCTCTTTTCCTCTTTCCCCTTCCTCTTCCTCTCTCTTCCCCTCCCATCCCCTCTTTCTTTTTTGTCTATCTCTCTCACTATCTCTCTGTTTATGTCTCTCTCTGCCCCCTGCCCCCCCAACCACCTTTATCTCTACAGTTTGCCTTTGCCACACAGTTCCCTGGCTTTACACTTTAACTCCTCATCTATCACCCCTATTCTGGCCAGCATTCTGCTCAATATTTCCCCGTGGCCTCTGGAAGTTCCCTTTCTGCTGATCTCCATGACAGCTCTATGCCAGGTCTGCCAACACTATTCTCTGTATCAAAAACATTCATCACCTGCTGACAGGGGTCTCCATGTATATGAACCACGACTGAGAGTCAGTCTTCTAACCCTTTCTTGGCCCGTTCAAATTTGCCAACTATCCACAAATAAGCACCTGCTTAGCAAACCTTAAAATACACTCATTGATTATCTATCTTGATTCGGGAATTTTGCTGGGTCCAGAAAAAGAAAAGTTAGAAATTCAAAGACAGTTTATTATTCATTTTATTTACATCATCAAGGCTGCAGAATAGAGTAGTTCCCTTTAAGTTGGTCATGAAGAGTCTGGAAAAGACAGACACATTCCAGATTCAAGAAGAAATAAAGATTGGTTTCCTAAAATCATTGACTGGCCACTACAAATGTCTGGGAAGCCAATGTTCTTTTATAATTCTTCTATGTACAAAGCCTACTCAACAAAAACCATCATTGGTTATGCTAATTAGATGTTTTCCTAAGTAGGAACAATCACTAGTAGGTAGGTTGACCTCTGGTAGGGTTTTCAGCAGCAATCACTTCATGATTGATTACAAATACCTGCAAATAGACGTGTCCAGAGAGACGATGAGGAAAGCATATTTTGTTGTTTGCACAAGGTGGCCATTTGTCCTTCCAGAACAGTTCTGAGGAGAGTGGCAGTGAGGAAATAAAATGGCCCAAGATTATTTGAAGGCTCGTCTGTGAGTGGATTCCACATTTGCAGGTTTGAGGGGATTGAGGTAGGATGATGGCTCATACTAATGACATGCTTTTCAAGAGGAAAGGACAAACAACAGATATCTTTAGGTCATTAAATTGACATTTAGTAGAAAGTGAAGAGAAAGAGAATTTAGTGTTACTAACTTTGAACTTCACCTTCCTGGGAAGGTGCTTCTGTAAGCAGACTCCATGTGCTGTGGTGAATCATAGCGATACCCTTGCTGTGACATTGGGGGACAGGGTGATCTGTACCTTCCTTGAGGTTTCAGTGCATTTGCCTGTGACATTAAGTGGGGAAATAAGAGAAAAGGGGAATACCCTCTCCTTTGTCACACTGCCAGGGAAGAAATCACTTTGGAGGTCATGATCTATGACAAACACATGCATGCAAATTCATCGCTGGCTCCAAGGGTCCATTTCTTTACCAACTATGTAGCTATGCAAAACAGAATGGGAAATAGTGCCTGGGGAGAAAGGAAAGAGCTGGGTTAGACACTGGCTGCCTTTATAGAAAGGAAACTCTTTGAGTCTGAAAGTATACTAATGAAATGAACCCACTTGAGTGACTGTGGCATTTTTCTGATACTGAAACACTCAAACTACAACTCTGGAATGTTGAGACTGGGAAAAACAGTCCTCCTGGGGGAGGGCCACATGAACTGGTTTCGAATACCAAATGGTCAGTCCTGAAGACATGCATGCAAATAACATTGCATAGACTGAGAAGGTATTCGTGTACATGTGTGTGCATGTCATATGCGTGTATGTGCATTTTGCATTATGCATTCATGTATACATAATATATATTTTCATACATGTATTTATGTGTATATGTATTTATATATGATATGTATATATCAACAAAGAAAAAGAGAAAAACAGAACATGATGCCCAAGACTCATCAAGTAGCAAAATTTTCTAGAGCTAACAGGAATGATATGAGGAAGTTCAGGTGGTAACCAAGGACCGGAAGCCTTTTGTTCTTTGAAATTTGTTTTTGTTTTTGTTAGTTTATAGCCCTTGAGCTGAACTCTAT